GGATAATTAGTCCTATTTGTAACTTTACACAAGAAAAAGTTTGCTGTCACACTGTTTATAAAGGGTTGGGTTTTGTCCTCTGAGTTGAGTCTTTGGTTGCAGTTTATTGAAGAATTTCCTCTGAAGTAGCTGTTGATGAAGATTTAAAATCCTGCTTAGTCACAAAAATGGGCTTTAGTTAATGTTTATGACATGTCTGCCTCAGTGCATCAGTAGAAGATTTGGCACAGGAAACCAGATGATGAAAGACGGGTAGGAGTGTATATACACTACAAGTAAATATAATATGGCCAATATTAAAGTTAGTATTATATTAATCATGATTAGTTATTACAGCAGTGAGCTTGAACTCTGTGTCAAATACTGAGCTTCAGTAAAGATTCAAGTTGCAGTTATTTATGTCCTATCACCTTAAATCTTCACTCAAAGAAAGGTATCTTTGACAGTGTATGTATATAGATGTATCATATAAGAGACAAATATTGTTCTTTCATTATGTTGGCATTACTAAATTTGGCTCAATGCTTACATATGTGTAAAATGAAAATTTACGAGCTGTGATAAATGTTTCCGATCAAATGAAGAGTAGACTGATAAATTAAATATTCATTTATTGGGTGAGAAAATTATACAATGTCATAACTGCTTTAAGTCATACAGAATAGATATCAGAGCCTTAAACGGGCTGACTTCTGCTAAATGGGTCAAACTGGGCAGAAAGTATACAAACATATAACATCCTTATAGAATATGATGTAACACTATAGATCAACTTACCTCAGAATACATAAAGCATATAAACAATTACAGCAATATGATGCAACAAACACAGCAGTACTCAAAGCTTCATAGAACTGAAAAAAACATGGCATTTATTTTAGGTCCATTCTGCTGCTGATACATAGTTTATGTTTCTCAATATTAAACTTGTTTCTGCCTTTCATAGTGTTTAACTTGAAGGCCCTGAGTACTTTCTCCCACACTGAAAACACTGGAATGGTAAAATTATTTGAGTTTGTCCTGGTGGATCATCAGGGGTGCAAAGCCTCACAGATGATGTGCAGCAGTGGGTCCCTCAGTTTGTCCTCACTATGGACACTTGCAGTTGTCACATATGGAAATCACATGTGTGATAAGCTGCAGGATTCAAACACAAGTGTAACTTATAAATACATGCTCATATTTTATTACACAATCAGAGAGAAAGAAAAAGAGAGAGAGAGAGTGCAGGACAGACACACAGGTGACAGTCTCAGGTGTATACACTGCTACAAAACAGCACAAGAGATGGAGGATTTAGTGTTTGTGTTATTATGAGTGCTAAACAAGAAGAGTTCCCAGATGGTACAGTGGACAC